AAGGAAATCTGCAAAGATGGTTCGCGATAACGTTCTACCTTCACCGCTACCAGCACTCTCGTCCACCGGCGCTTCAAATATATCCGGTCAGGCTATTGATAATGAAAACCAGTTTACTAACATTATCAATATTTCGAACATCAAACTTACAAACCCTGAAATGTCTCTTCTTTCTCGTGGTCTCAACTTCTGTCCGGCAACTGGCAGGTACAATGAATTTCAGCTCGTAAAGGACCTTGACGACTTCGCGCGGAACATGAGACTACGTGAGTTTTTTCATGAACGATCCTCATCCAACAGCGTGTCATCCAGTAAACATTGGACACCACCGGTACAACGTGACAAGTGCCTTGATATGTACATTTCAGCTGTCCAACAGGATATTCTTGAAGCATATAACCAGAAAAATTCTTTCAAACACAATTTGACCTCAAATGAAAGGGAAGCCATTAGGACATTGCAGAACCGTTCAGACATTGTTATCAAGCCCGCTGACAAAGGCGGTGCAGTAGTGGTAATGAATACCTCCGACTATATCACTGAAGCATTGAGACAGTTAGGTGACACTGCATACTATAGGCAGCTCAGTCACGACCCAACTGAGGACTTCAAACGTATTATTGCCGAGGCCCTTGGGGAACTTTTACAAAAAGGGTGCATCAGTAAAAAGACGATGGAATCACTAATACCACTTAGTCCTGTTGCAGGAAGGTTTTATTTATTACCGAAGGTGCACAAACCAAATAACCCCGGTCGTCCAATAGTTTCGGCTATTGGTACGGTTACTGAACCTCTTTCCGGCTACATTGACGCTCTTATCAGAGTAATTCCCGCCTCCTTTCCCTCGTATCTTCGAGACACTAACCATTTCTTGAGTGACATTGCTGATCTTGACGTCCCCGACAAAGCGCTACTAGTCACACTAGACGTAGCTTCTCTATACACGAATATCCCGCATGACGACGGAATTCAGTCCGTAATACGTGCATATGACGAATCTTCGCTAGACAAACCTATTGACAGCTCAACGCTAGCCTCTCTTTTAAAACTAATTCTGCAACTAAACAACTTCGAATTTAATCAAACTCACTATGTACAGACGAGTGGCACCTCGATGGGCACGAAGATAGGACCGAATTACGCCAATATATTCATGGGCAAATTGGAGGACAGGTTTCTTGCCACGTGCACCCTAAAACCGTTATACTATAAACGCTTTATTGACGATATCTTTTTGATATGGCATCACGGGGAAACTGAACTTTTGTCTTTTGTGGAAAGCTTTAACAATTTTCATCCATCAATCTCCTTCTCGCTCGCCTACTCAGCATCAAACATAAACTTTCTGGACGTCACGGTATGCATATCAGGTGGTAAACTAACGACAAAGCTTTACAGAAAGTCGACTGATAGACACCGCTACCTTCATTTTGAAAGTAGCCACGTAAGACACAACAAGACAAGCATACCATACAGCCAGGCGCTCCGTTTTAAAAGGTTGTGCTCCGCACAATCTGACTTCAGGGATAATTGTGACAAGCTCAGTGATGCACTAAGAAGACAAAAGTACCCGCCTCAGATAATTGACTATGCCATTAAACGTGCTAATGAAGTGGACAGGAGCGTGCTCCTCCACTCCAACAAGCCTGCTCAACAGCGACCATCTACAAACCTCATATTAACGTATTCTGCATCAGCACCAAACGTTAACCACATCCTACGAAGGCACCACAACATTCTTATGCAGAGCGACCGTCTCAAAAACATATTTTCGGAATCGCCACGGGTAGTCTATCGCCGGTCGAGAAACTTGCACAATATGCTGACTTCATCTGTACTAACTCATCCTGCCCATTCAGGTTGCCACCCTTGTGGCAAACCACGTTGCAAGGTTTGCGTACACATGACCACCTCTATTTCAGCCCACAGTTCGGCGTCAAATTTCACAATGAAAATTAATGGTGATTACGATTGCGATACAAGTAACTGTGTGTACCTACTTGAGTGCTCAGTCTGTAAGCTTCAGTACTTAGGCCACACAGCGACACCATTCAGACTGCGGTTTAATAACCACAAGGCGCATGTCACAACTTTTCCTAACCTACCCCTATCTAAGCACCTTAATGCGACAGGACATTCACTCGATAACCTAACAGCAACCATATTAGAATCTGGTTTTAAGTCTCACCATGAACGGGAAGCACGCGAATCATTTCTCATCTACAAATTTAAAGCACTGTCATTCGGCATTAACGAAAGCGCAGGAAAGCTCACGTTCCTGGGCGCACGTTCAGCAACGGGATCACTATGTCACGGACAAGGCTAAATTCCCTATCACATGTCTGCAGCTTTCATCAGTTTTCAGCCTGTTACATACAATTCTGTTATATTTCGTTCTCATGAATGCCATGTATCTCACTTTTACCAAAGTTTTTTTTCAAATCACCATCGCCACATAATGCTGTTCTCGTTGCTTTACATCTGTTTTTTGTTAGTTCTTTTAGCGCATTGTTGCTGGTTGTTTACCTATGTTTCTTGTTAGTTCATCAAGTTGTTTTAACGCAATATTGTTAAATGCATTCGTGGTACATTATCACCCTTGTTATGTTGATCCTTTCCGTGACTATGAAAAACGCCTTTTTTTGCTGCGCAGACTTCACCGTATGTTATCATTTCGTGATAGAGTCTTGTCATTATCACATCGTGCTCTTCCGCATGTTGATTTGTGTGCCACTGTCATATATGTGACATTTGATATTAAATAGACACGTGTTGGGGGCCCCCAATGTATAGGAGCAGCACGTTGACATTTGCAATGTATTCCCTGACGAAGGCCGGACCCCGGCCGAAACGTAGGAGCAATAAAAGTTTTCGCACGTTTGTCCGCTCAAGCCAATTTCTATTCATCACTGGATTCACAGAAGACACTCGCTGGATATATATATATATATATATATATATATATATATATATATATATATATATATATATATATATATATATATATATATATATATATATATATATATATATATATATATATATATAGACGTTAACGAGAATGCCTGATCAGCAACTACAATACAACTTTGGAACTGGTGCCTGCCTGATCCCTGACGCCGTTTTCGTCCCGGCTTGTTGTCTATTTCTGGAATTGAAATGCAACTCAGGCGATAAATAATCATATCAACAAATTGCGAATCCGTAAACTTTAAGCAGGATCACATCTCAAAGAGATTTCATTAGTGTTGCGAAAGTATCGTTTTCTCGTTCGAAAAAGAAACACTTTTAAGCTGCGCAATTTGACATTCTTGACATTACTTTGCCCGTGTCCAGCACAAGGTAGACAGTGGGTTGCAAAACCACCAAAGGTTTGACTTTCAGAGTGACGACATTTTTCTGTATGGCCATTTTAGCTTTATCTGAGGACATGCTGTGCGACAAAGTTGTGAAATTCCCGCGCTTATCTAATAGCTTGGGTCTTAGTTTCCTCCTTACGAAACAATTTACCGACCTTATTTCGTTCGAGGCCGCGAATCACCCGGAAACTCAATGCGAGCTACGCAAGTACGCCATTTAGTGTGCTATAATTCATCGACTGTTCATGCGGCAATGCTTCAATTTAGACTGACATTTTACGCCATGTTTACATACTACGCTTAACTTGAGGTACTGAGGTCACGAGACTTCTTGGTAAACGATAAGTATATCTACAAGAACTCGTCCATGTGATATCCTTCTTAGCATCTGCTGTAGACTCCAGGTGCTGAACTGATAAGCTCAGACGGTATTGCATACGCGTACGGCTGGGAGTGCATGCACATGATACTTGTAGCTTCGCCAAGGTCCGCGAGTGATGACGCCAAGTGCACACTCATTGTCATTTTATCTCACTTCCTCACTTCCACATTCGCAAGCAAAGTAGCGTTCCTGTGTTGCAAAATATTTAGGACGGAGTATGCGATACGTACAATTGGATCACGGCTGTACTAGATAATTGGTGGCATGCGGTTGTATCCGCTCTTTAATTCTAAACCCTTCACGCGGAAAAGGAAGGACTGTTACAAAACAGTGCTACAACTTTACGACATATACCCTACGACGATGACGTTTCTTACGTGTAGTTTGAATATCATTTAATATCTTAAGACGTGCTCGATAAAAACAAGTGCACAGCGATGCCCACAGAAAGCGACATCGTGGCTTGAGGTTGTGGTTTTCTTCGTGCCTCGCTTTGTCATTGCCTTTATGAAATGCGTATAAAATACCGTGTCCGACAATATTCTCATATTCAGTGTTAAGCGCAGAACTCTTTTGACGAGACGAGACAGTTAGGAACACACACACGCAGAAAATCATGATCTTCGCTGAATAATTAAGTCGGAAGAAGTTAAAGGATCGGAGATGGGTAATACTGAATGACGAATAAAAGAGCTTACGCTCCCCGAAATGCATTATAAATCACAGAAATGAAACTTATGCTACCGAGCTTGTTTTCGACTGTGGCCACACACTGACGTCTTTAAGCTCTTATTCGCGCAGGGTATTTGCAGCAGCTGCTGCCCGTTTTCCGCCATAGCAGTCCATACGGCGCAAAACTAACTCGCCTAACCACGGCGTGCCAGCGCGAAGCAGCGTCCCAGTTTTGGCGCCAAAACCAACCAGTTGCCCTCAACGCCGTCCGTCGGGCCGTGTTTTCACTCGGCGCGGCGTCCACGCGTGTTTTTCAAACTGGCGCGCCATTTTCCTCTCTCGGAGCAGCGACCGATGGACCGGTTATGCCACTTCCTCGTCCTCGATAGACTGCCTTCTCTCGCACTCTGCAGGCTTCTCCTTTCCACAAAAAAGAAAGAAGGCGAGGTCGTTTTGTGTGGCAAGGAGGCAAGGACCAATGGGTGCCCCGGACGCCCGCTTCGAAACCAGGGGCGCCAAACGAATCTGGCGCGCGAGCGCGCGCTCACACATTGAACGCGTGGAAGAGAGTTGAGCCTGTCGCTCCACTGACGCGCCCCCATCAGCTGCTTCGGCCGCTCGTTGCCTGACGAAGAAGAAGAAGCCCCGGGATCTGAACGCGATGGGATCGCCGCACGATAACCGAGCGTGCCGGCGACTTTTCGACGACGGCGGAGACCCTGCTACCAGGCGCACGTTGGACAAGATGCAGGAGGACAGCTCGCGCTCCTGGAACTACGACTTCGGACGGGACCGACCGATGCAGGGCCGGTACCAGTGGCAGCGCTGCGGGGACGACGACAAGCGGACGTCGTCGCAGTGGCGCTGCTGGGGCGACGCGTCGCCCGGTTCAGGTGGGTGAGGGGGAACGGCGCCTCGCGCCAGACACGTGCGAAGCGCGTCGCGCTGTTGGGCGCCCACTCGCGTGACGTACGACAACTAACCCCACGCTGGATCCCTCCCCCGCCATTTCTTGGTCGGCAAAAGGGTTGTGTGCTGCGCGCGCGCGCGAAACGAGACTCGCTGTTGCCAATTTGCGCGCCAAAAATATCCTGCTTTTTCAACTATACGTTTCCATCTCCATACCACTAGGTATTTTGTTTCTAATTATTCCTAATTTTTGTTCAACGTATCCGTGTTGGCAGAAACACAACGAAGAAGACGTTTTTGGAATTTAGCCGCGGAACTCTCAGTTATTTTCGTTTTTGCAGCGCAAATAACACGCGTGCATTCACAATACAAGGCGCAAAACAATGCAAACCTCTGGTTCGGGGAGGTGGAAATTAATTTTTTATGAATTTATTTTATACGGACATTTACATCTAATTTTTCGTGTCTTCTCTCGCGTGTCAGTGTGAATAGTTTGCGCTAAAATAAGGATTATGAGTCATAGCCAGTTGATAGCTGGCATTACCGATAATGCTGCCAGTTATAGTGTGAACCTTGAGCAAGTCAGCGGACAATGAAGTTGTGCTCATAAATAACATAGCGATGTGTAATACAAAGCTATTGGGCCATTTCTATTGACCGTCGTCACTACGAGCAGCTGCAATCAGCGATGAATCAAAGCTCGCACGCGCATCAGCTCCAGTGCTGTTATGCAAGACCCGCAGTAAATGCGAATAACGGAACCCGTTTTAAGCGTAAAACAACGTATTCACCGGGATCTAGCACGTGGAGTACAGCTGTGAAATTTCTTCTGGGCGTATATTGAGGAGAACTTTTTGGCAAGCATGATCTCGGCAAGAGTTGCGCGTCGTGCTGCTTTTGCATACTTGCCAAGAAATGCACAGTGCGCGTGGAAGGAAACACGCAGGTGATGACCTGCAGGAGCGTAACGGAATGGATCACCTGTCACAGTGGTCGCCCATTCAATTGAACATCAGAATTTTGTACGCTGCGGGCAGGCCGACACAGTCTGCCATATGGTCACGCTTCTTCACCTGGGATTCTTCGAATTTCCCAGCTGTCGATGCAGCATCTATAAAGCGGGATAAACCGGGATCGGTATTCTTCGAATGTCCCAGCTATCGATACAGCATCTATAAACCACCAGTATTGCATATATATATATATATATATATATATATATATATATATATATATATATATATATATATATATATATATATATATTTCAATCGGTTTGCACTCGACGCATAAAACCTACGCTTTTATTTCTTCGTGATCGTCCTTGACTTTTCTAAACTTAGAGGGTAGTGTTCGCACTGCCTGATTCGTTCCCCAGTTCCGGCACCAGAATATAGTTAAAAGGATGAGCCACCGTCCCTAGCCTCAATGCTAACCTCCTCGTTAGTCGAATACACAAACTGTATGTTCTTGGTAATCATTCGTCCACTCCTCGTCTTCTTCATAGTTTTAAACATGGGTTTCGTCACAGATAAATGACACCAGTAGACCCTAGGGACTGAAAATGTGTGCACCATCATGAGTAGTTCGAATTTTAATTTAGAAGTCCTTAGCGTCCAGATCGTATCATTTTTATATATACGATCCAGACAACATGCATGTGTTAGGTGTCTTTTTAGACACCTAACACATGCAGGATATGCCGGGAAGAGACAAAGCAAGACAGGTTCGTTCACTGCTTCCATCTTTCTTGCTCAGTGGTTCAAGGAGACCTTTCGAGAGTGACGTCCCGCAGCTCCCGGCCAGGAACACCTGCTCGAAGCGGCCGAGCTGCCAATGCGGTTTCGAGCTGCTCTGCGCTGGAATAAGATGAGACAAACAACGTAAAAGGGCGGGAAAGGACGCCGCCAGCACTCGCCGGCTCTTCGCGGTATAACCCGTTATGGCCCCCTCGAGAAACGAATAGGGCAAAAATTTTTGGCGGGAAGTGGCGGTAGGTCGTTGCGTCGAGAGGAGAAGGCCGCTTGCAGAGAGAAGGGGGCGGGTATCTTGAGAGAGGCCTAGCCTAGCGCTTCTTGCCGCCGTTTCACCATCGACGCTTGGCGTCATTGCTTGACTCCTGAGGTCGCGTGCCTCTTGCACGACCGGAATTCAAAATGGGACGCGGTGTTTCGTAGTGGAAGCCGACTCGTTCGCAATCGACGACGGAGGGCGCAGAACAGGGTGAGAGGCTAAGGTGGATCTTGAGGAGTCGCCAATGAACTGGAGCGTATGCTCAGTCAAGGCGGCAAACAGAGGCACTCCGATCGGTCATCCTTGACTTAGTTCCTTTGCATCACCTGTGTGTATAATCTCAAACATCTATTCGGGTCGCAATTCCCGTACGTCTCGCTGGGTGTGATGCGTTAACGGTATAGTTAGCGCCATAGAGACGAGAGTTCCATGCTTAATTCAGATCCATGTTTCCTGCATGCAGAGCGTTCTGCAGAGCGTTCCGTGGTGTTTTCATTGCTCCATCATTCTCTTCTGGCACTTGCACACGCGGCCAATTGAAATATTATCAGGAAAAAGTTGGGCTACTTGGTTAAACGTCTTCATTTCATTGTTCCACCGCTGCGCGTGATAATATTCCTTGTCACGTATATAGAACACAGAGCGTGGCAAAACGGGCCACCAATATTAGCTCCTGTTTTCGGTAGGCTATGCAGTGACTGTCTCTCAAGAAATTCTACTTGTTCACGGCCAGCGCAAATCGACATACGAATCGTTTGTGATCAAAGTCAGATGTGGCATTATTTAATGTTGTTTTTTCTTTTAATTGAAAAGATGTATCGGAGAAGTTGTTCCTTTCATAAGCTCCGCCGGATACCACTAGTCGCTGAGCGAACGAAACAAATAATAATAAAACTACAAGAAAAAAATGGAAGCTGCAGAAAGTATACCTTACACTATAGAGCTCAAGATGCGGAAACTCAGTGTAGTCAAACGGCACCTGAGACACAAATGTCTTGTTTATAATTCATTTCCGCTATTAATATCCCTGCCGCTTTGCGACCTTACCCTTAGGCGTGCTGAAATTTTTCAAGAATATGTCGCCGATCAGCACCATGAATTGTCAGGTCGAAGTTGAGAATTAATATTATTTCTCACACGTATTTCATGCTTTACAAATAAAAGAGTCATGAAGGCGCCATGTAATCCTCAGTCGAATTCCAGCAAGCAGCGATCTGCGTTCGGAAAGTGCAAGAGCTTTCCAACATGACGAGGCTGAAGTTATTCCGCGTGAAGTCTGTGCAGTCAGCTAGATATGAACACTTCCTTTGACGACTTAATTGCTTTGATGGCCTTTAGTATAATACAGCCGCCGTAAATTCAAAGCGTAGATGCACTTCACAATGAATTCGCTTGTATAAATCCAGAATACAAAAATAGGAAAATTTTGTAGTGGTCACCACTCCAATCACGTATCGTAATTTACCTGCATTACATTAGCATCTGTTCAGTCACACGAGGTGAGAAAGTAAAGCATGTAAGAATAAAAATAAATGCTGGACTTCTGCGTGTCAAAGCCGCAACATGCGTATTTGGTGCACTCCGTAGCAAAACGCTCCGGAAATTTCGACCACCGGGAGTTGCCTATAAGTGCACATGTAAGGTCATAATAGGATTCCAGCCTATACCGCTCCCAAAATTAACGGGTGTGTAACGATGAGCGAAAAGTCGGTGTTGCGTTACGACAAGAAAAACATCCTTCGATGAAGTCACTTCGTGGCCTATTTCACACGCTGGAGGGCAGATGAGTCCCCTTCCCCCCCCCCCCCACCCTCATAGCACTCCTCCGCATTATCATCGTCATCGTCATCAGCCTGACTACGTCCACTGCAGGACAAAGGCCTCTCCCATGTTCCGCCAGTTATCCCGGTCCTGTGCTTGCTGCTGCCAATTTATACCCGCAAACTTCTTAATCTCATCTGCCCACCTAACCTTCTGTCTCCCCCTAACCCGCTTCCCTTCTCTGGGAATCCAGTCAGTTACCCTTAATGACCAGCGGTTATCCTGTCTACGCGCTACATGCCCTGCCCATGTCCATTTCTTCTTCTTGATTTCAGCTATGATATCCTTAACCCCCGTTTGTTCCCTAATCCACTCTGCTCTCTTTTTGTCTCTTAAGGTTACACCTACCATTTTTCTTTCCATTGCTCGCTGCGTCGTCCTCAATTTAAGCTGAACCCTCTTTGTAAGTCTCCAGGTTTCTGCTCCGTAGCTAAGTACCGGCAAGATACAGCTGTTATATACCTTCCTCTTGAGGGATAGTGGCAATCTACCTGTCATAACTTGAGAGTGCTTGCCGAATGTGCTCCACCCCATTCTTATTCTTCTAGTTACTTCAATCTCGTGGTTCGGCTCTGCGGTTATTACCTGCCCTAAGTAGACATAGTCTTTTACAACTTCAAGTGCACTATTACCTATCTCGAAGCGCTGCTCCTTGCCGAGGTTGTTGTACATTACTTTCGTTTTATGCAGATTAATTTTAAGACCCACCTTTCTGCTCTCCTTGTCTAACTCCGTAATCATGAGTTGCAATTCGTCCCCCGAGTTACTCAGCAATGCAATGTCATCGGCGAAGCGCAGGATACTAAGGTATTCTCCATTGACTCTTATCCCTAACTGTTCCCATTCTAGGCTTCTGAAAACCTCCTGTAAGCACGCGGTAAATAGCATTGGGGAAATTGTGTCCCCCTGCCTTACACCCTTCTTGATTGGTATTCTGTTGCTTTCTTTATGAAGCACTATGGTAGCAGTTGATCCCCTGTAGATTTCTTCCAGAATGTTTATATATACTTCATCTACGCCCTGATTCCGCAGTGTTTGCATGACGGCTGATATTTCTACTGAATCAAACGCCTTCTCGTAATCTATGAAGGCTATGTATAGTGGTTGGTTATACTCTGAGCATTTCTCTATTACCTGATTGATAGTATGA